TAAGTTATCTAATTTGGCATATAGTTGTTCATAATATTTTATTAGGATCTTTTATTTCTATGATTCATAGTAATGGCCTCTCTTTTGCTTTGGGTAATTTGAGTGTTCGTTCTTTTCTTCTTGGTTAGCAAAAGATCTGTCAATTTTGTTGATATTGGGCTGGAATTATGGCTCAGAGGTAGAGCGCTCCACCTAGAATGTATGAGGCACTGGGTTCCATCCTCAGCACCACATACAAAAATAAATAAAATGAAGTCATTGTGTCCATTTACAACTAAAATAAAATTTCAAAACAAAAATTTGTTGATATTTTGAAAGACCCATCTTTTGGTTTTGTTGAATTTTCTGTTTTTTTTTTTTAATTCTTAATTTCTATTCTCTATTTCCTTTCTTCTGCTTTTGTTAGCTTTTGTTTGCACTTTTCTACGGAGTGTTTTTAAAGTTAGCTCTTTCAACATAATATGAAGAACAGGGTATGAATTTAAATTTCTACTTTGCTATTTGCTAGCTTTGTTTTTTTTTAATTTTTATTGTTGGTTGTTCAAAACATTACATAGTTCTTGACATATCATATTTCACACTTTGATTCAAGTGGGTTATGAACTCCCATTTTTACCCCATATACAGATTGCAGAATCACATCGGTTACACATCCACTGATTTTCATATTGCCATACTAGTGTCTGTTGTATTCTGCTACCTTTCCTATCCTCTACTATCCCCCCTCCCCTCCCCTCCCCTCCCCTCTTCTCTCTCTACCCCCTCTACTGTCATTCATTTTCAAAGAACCAACTTTTAGTTTTGTTAATTTTTTCAATTGTTTCTTTTGTTTCGATTTCATTAATTTCAGCTCTGATTTTAATTATTTCTTGCCTTCTACTTCTTTTGCTGTTGATTTGCTCTTCTTTTTCTAGGATTTTGAGAAGAAGTATGAGATCATTTATTTATTGGTTTTTTCTTTTTTTAAGGAATGAACTCCAGGCAATGAATTTTCCTCTTAGAACTGCTTTCATTGTGTCCCATAGATTCCGATATGTTGTGTCTGTGTTTTCATTTATCTCTAAGAATTTTTAAATTTCCTCCTTGATGTCTTCTATAACCCATTGATCATTCAGTAACCTATTGTTCATTCTCTAAGTGATGCATGATTTTTCCTTCCTTCTTTTATCATTGATTTCCAGTTTCATTCCATTATGATCATATAAGATGCATGGTATTATCTCTACTCCTTTATAATGTCTAAGAGTTGCCCTGTGACATAATATATGATCTATTTTTGAGAAGGATCCATGTGCTGCTGAGAAAAAAGTGTAATTGCTTGATGTTGGGTGGTATATTCTATATATGTCAATTAAGTCTAGGTTATTAATTGTATTATTGAGTTCTATAGTTTCTTTATTCAACTTTTGTTTGGAAGATCTGTCCAGTGGTGAGAGAGGTGTGTTAAAGTCTCCCATAATTATTGTATGGTGGTCTATTAGACTCTTGAACTTGAGAAGATTTTGTTTAATGAACATAGCTGCACCATTGTTTGGAGCATATATATTTATGATTGTTATGTCTTGTTGATGTATGGTTCCCTTGAGCAGTATGTAGTGTCCCTCTTTATCCCTTTTGATTAACTTTGGCTTGAAATCTATTTTATTTGATATGAGTATGGATACTCCGGCTTGTTTCCGAAGTCCATATGAGTGATATGATTTTTCCCAACCTTTCACCTTCAGTCTATGTATGTCTTTTCCTATCAAATGTGTCTCCTGTAGGCAGCATATTGTTGGATCTTTTTTTTTTGATCCATTCTACTAGCCTGTGTCTCTAATTGGTGAGTTTAAGCCATTAACATTTAGGGTTATTATTGAGATATGGATTGTTCTTCCAGCCATATTTGTTTATTTATGTTACTTAACATGGTTTGTTTTTCCTCTTTGATTATTTTTCCCTTTACTGTACTACCTTCCACTGTTGGTTTTCATTTTTATTTTCCATTTCCTCTTCCTGTAATGTTTTGCCAAGGATGTTTTGAAGAGGTGGTTTTCTAGCTGCAAATTCTTTTAACTTTTGTTTATCGTGAAAGGTTTTAATTTTCTCTTCCATCCTGAAGCTGAATTTCGCTGGATACACAATTCTTGGTTGGAACCCATTTTCTTTCATCGTTTGAAATATGTTGTTCCAGGATCTTCTTCTTCTTCGGAGTCTGTGTTGAAAGATCAGCTGTTATCCTGATTGGTTTACCCCTAAATGTAATCTGCTTCCTTTCTCTTGAAGCTTTTAAAATTCTCTCCTTATTCTGTATGTTGGGCATCTTCATTATAATGTGTCTAGGTATGGATCTCTTATGATTTTGCACATTTGGCATCCTGTAAGCTTCTAGGATTTGGGATTCTGTCCCATTCTTCAAGTCTGGGAAGTTTTCGCGTATTATTTCGTTGAACAGATTGCTCATTCCTTTGGTTTAGACCTCTATACCTTCCTGTATCCCAATGACTCTTAAGTTTGGTCTCTTTATGTTATCCCAAATTTCTTGGATGTTCTGCTCATGGTTTCTTAACAGTCTTGCTGAGCTGTCTATGTTCTTTTCAAGTTGAAATACTTTGTCTTCATTGTCTGATGATCTATCTTCTAAGTGTTCTACTCTGATGGTAGTACTCTCATTTGAGTTTTTAAGTTGGTTTATTGCTTCCTGCATTTCTAGGATTTCTGTTTGTTTTTTATAACCTCTATCTCCCTATATAGTTGATCTTTTGCTTCTTGGATTTGTTTATGTAACTCAATGTTGAAGTGATCTTTCATTGTCTGATTTTGCTGTCTAATATTTTCCTTGAGACTCCAGATCATCTGAAGCATGTATATCCTGAATTCTTTATCTGACATTCCATCTGCTGCATCTATTACCTCTTCTAAAGTTGAGTTGACCTGCATTGCTTGTGGTCCTTTCTTTCCTTGTCTTTTCATACTGCTCGCGTTTCTTTCCGCTTGGTGAAACTGTTGTGTTATTGAATTTTCCCCCTATATATTTATATTGCTCTTGTATAGTTTCAAAGTCTCCCTTGCAGGGGTGGGCGGCGGCTGTGTTCCTCCTCCAATTGGGGTGATTTGTCTATCTCGCCGGCGGGCCGCTGGGCCCCTTCTCCAGGTCGCGTGGTCTGCCTACCTTGCGGGCAACGGCTGGGCCCCTCCTCCAATAGGGATGATCTGTCTACCACGCTGGCAGGCCGCTGGGCCTGTTCTCCAGGTTGCAGGTCTGCCTACCTTGTAGGCGGCAGCTGGGACCTTCCTCCAATTGGGGTGATGTGTCTACCACACCGGCGGGTCGCTGGTCCTGTTCTCCCGGTAGGTTGCAGGTCTGCCTAACTTGCAGATGCGCGCGGCGGCTCTGCTCTGCCCCTCCTCCAATTGGGGTGATGTGTCTACCATGCTGGTGGGCCTCTGGGCCTGTTCTGCCGGTGGATCGCCGGTCTGCCTACCTTGCAGGCACGGGCGGCGGCTCTGCTCTGCCCCTCCTCCAATTGGGGTGATGTGTCTACCACGCCGGCGGGCTGCTGGGCCTGTGGTCGCACGTTTCATTTGGTAGCTTTGTGATTTGGGAAAGTTAGTCTCAGAAAAATGATTATCAATTGAAGATAATACAAGATTGGTGACTTAAGGAATACTTAAGATAAGGTATTCAGAGTGTTTAGATGGGCCTTACAATTAGTGCTAGTAAATGATAGCAATTAGTAACTATTAACGATTCCTCTTAGGATTATGCATTTTGTATTTATCTTAGCACAAATTATCTTTCACAGTTATAAAAAATATATCAACTCCAGATGGTCAGAAAATTTCAATAGGATCTGAAAAGGAGATTGCATTGTACCAAAATACAATGTACTGTATTTTCTTTCAAAGAGCATGTTGTAGTTTACTTGATAAGGGAAATAAGTTGCTTGGGAAAGGAATAAGCATCTCAAGCAAGTTTTTACCCCTCACATATGAAATAGAGCACTAATCTCTAGGGTAAAGAACTCAAAAAGCTAAGCACCAAAGAAACAAATAACCCAATCAATAAGTGGGCCAAGGACCAGAACATATACGTCACAGAAGAGGATATACAATCAATCAGCAAATATATGAAAAAATGTTCATCATCTCTAGGAATTAGAAAAATGCAAATCAAAACTACTCTAAGATACCATCTCACTCCAGTCAGAATGGCAGCTATTATGAAGACAAAGAACAATAAGTGTTGGCGAGGATGTCGGAAAAAAGGTACACTCACACACTGCTGCTGGGACTGTTAATTGGGGCAGCCAATATGGAAAGCATTATGGAGATTCCTTGGAAAACTGGGAATGGAACACTATTTGGCTCAGCTATCCCTCTCCTCAGTCTATACTCAAAGGACTTAAAAACAGCATACTACAGGGACACAGCCACATCAATGTTTATAGCAGCACAATTCACAATAGCTAAACTGTGGAACCAACCTAGATGCCTTTCAATAGATGAATGGATAAAAAAAATGTGTCATATATACACAATGGAATATTGCTCAGCAATAAAAGAGAATAAAATAATGGCATTTGCAGGTAATGGATGGAGTTGAAGAAGATAATGCTAAGTGAAGTTAGCCAATCCCCAAAAACCAAATGCCAAATGTTTTCTCTGATATAAGGAGGCTGATGCATACTGGGGTAGGGAGGGGGATCATGGAAGGAATAGACAAACTCTAGATGGAGCAGAGAGGTGGGAGGGAAAAGGAGGGGGCAGGGTGTTAGCAAGGATGGTAGAATGTGGTGGACATCATTATCCAAAGTACATGTGTGAAGACACGAATTGGTGTGAACATACTTTATATACAACCAGAGATTCTTGGTAAATTAAAAAATAAATAATTGATAATAGCTCTTGGCTAAATAGCTGCCTAATTGGTTTCAATTAGTCATGAATTTCGACTGATTAAATTTATCATTTATATATTTTGTGGATTATCAATTTTTACCATATACATTTGTGATCAGATTTTGGCAATTAATCGTGGAGAGAATTTGAAGATATTGACAGTCAAGGTCAACATTTCCGATGGAGTGAAGAATGAATTCTGTAGGTGGTGCATCCAAAACAGGTATGTTTATAGATTTCTATAGAATTTCCTTACTAGGTGGGTGTTTTGGCACATGTCTGTAATCTCAGCGGCTTAGGAGACTAAGACAGGAGGATTGCAAGTTCAAAGCTAGCCTCAGAAAAAAATGAGGCACTAGCAATTCATTGAGACCTTGTCTCTAAATAAAATACAAAAGAGGGCTGAGGATGTGGTTCAGTGGTCAAGGGCCCCTGTGTTCAATCCCCAGTCCCCCCGACCGCCAAAAAAAAGAATTTCCTTTCTAAAATACCATACTGATATCTTTATGTACTGATATGGAAAGATGTCTATTATGTTTTTTTTTTTTTTTTTAAAGCAAATGTCAATGTATATTGTATCTTTTGTTTTTATTTTTGTTTTTCTTTTCTTTTTTAGTATGGAGGATTTGAACCCAGGGCAGTTTACCACTGAGCTACATCCCAAGCCCTTTTTATTTTGAGATAGGGTTTTGCTAAGTTGTTTGAGACCCACATTGCTGAGGCTGGCCTCAAACTTGTGATCCTCCTTATTTCTGAATTGCTGGGATCACAGTTGTGTGTTACCATGCCCAGCTATATTTAAAAAATGAAGTATATGAGTTTTGTGTATGTTTAAATAGAAAATACCTGGAGGGTGCATAAGAAACAATAATGATTTCTGGGAGAGGAACATTTACTTCAGTACAGTCATCAGTGCATAACAGCATTTCAGTCAATGGTACATTATCTGCTTCTAAGTAAATCTGTGATTAAAAAAAACAAACCAAGGAAACCACCATAGACACCTATCTGAATAGTTTGAAGCCTCCTCAAGAAGATCTTCAGGAGGTATTCCAGAAGAAGGCATTGTTATCATGGAGGGTATCATGGAGGGTGAAAACTCTATGCACGTTGTTGTTCCTGAGGACATTCCTATGGGACAAGATGTGCCTAGGCTAATCTGAATGTTTTCTCCTTAGATTTTTAACAAAAAAGTTTAAAAAGTATTTTTAAAAAGAGAGAGAGAAAAAAAAAGAAAGCCTTATAGAATTAGAATATATAAAAATTATTTTTGTACAGCTGTGTTTATGTTTTAAGCTAAGTGTCATCAAAAGAGTCGAAGAAGTTAAAAAAGTTTGTAAAATAAAATAGTTAAAGTAAGCTAAGGTTAATTTATTACTGAAAGAAGAAAAAACATTTAAAAATAAATTTAGTGTAGCTTAAGTGAAGTCTATGGTAGTATTCGGTAATGTCCTAGACCTTCATATTCACTCCCCAGTGACACTGAGAATAACTTCCAGTCCTGCAAGGTCCATTCATGGTAAGCCCCCTATACATATATACTATTTTATTTTAATTCTTTATACTCTATTTTTACTGTATTACTCTATGTTTACATATACAGATACTTACCATCTTGTTATAGTTCCCTAAAGTGTTTAGTAAAGTAACCTTCTGTATAGGTTTAAAACGTAGAGGCAATAGACAATACCATATAGCCTAGGTGCATAGTACGCTATACCATCGTGCTTCACAGAAGCATACTTAGAGGCCTGCACTGTGATGAAATGACTTATCTGTGCATTTCTTACAACTTATCCCCATTATTAAGTGATGCATGACTGTATTTTTCTGTACCATTTGAATCTTTTATAAAGAGCATATTTCCCCTCATGAAAAAAATAGGTTAAAACATCATAATATAGGGGCTGGGATTGTGGCTCAGTGGTAGAGTATTTGCCTAGCATGTGTGAGGCACTGGGTTCGATTCTTAGCACCACATAAAAATAAATAAAATAAAGATATTGTGTCCATCTATAGATAAAAATATAAAAAGATAAAAAACCCCATCATATTGTATATAGTATATCTGAAATGTTTTACTCATTAAGGATGATTTAAACAAAAATGTGATTAATAGGATATTACAATATAAATCTTTAAACAAACTGTATGTGGTTTTCCTAAAAAACCTTTGCACATTAAGGATGATTGAAATAAACATTAAACATTTTTAAACATCATATTTTTAATTAACCTTTTTAGTTGTTAAGGAAACCATTTAAACTAGCCACACATTTTATAGAACACATGACTTTTAATTTTTCTAAATATATTTGATCTTCACATCAATCTATTTGATTGGTACAGCAAATTTTATGGCTACCATGTGACTAATAAGAAAGCTAATACAAAGATGTAAAGGAGCTTGGTTAGAATGTTAAATTTTAGATATGCTTATCAGCAGCTATCTCTGTGTGAACATAGCTTAGAGAACTTGCTGTGAATACTACTTGAAAAGTTAGATGTAGTATTCTTTGAGAAATGTATGTGCTATACTTTGGTAAATGGCTCCTACATCCAACATACTTCTTGTATCAATTTACTGGAAGCCTGTTTGCCCAATGCAATTCCACAAATGATCAATTTGCTGAACCACCAAATAATACTAACCAAGTAAAATGTAATTTGAATGTTGATCAGTTATGTCATATCCATACAATGGAATTTTGTGCAGCTTTTTCTAAAAGCTGCGATATAAACATGTCTTATTAGGTTAAAAAGGTAATTTATAATTATTTATGCTATAATTTCATTAATGACAAATAATATGTCTATGTATATATAAGAAAATGCCTGAGAAGATAATAAATGGTTTACTCCTTGGCTTTGGTATGAGATTTTAATTTTCTATCTTATACTTTACTGTGTAATTGTCACTTTCTTTGAATGCTTATTTCCTTTGTAAATAAATAAATAAATTTCATTAAAAATGAAGAGAATAAATATCTAAAAGACATACTATATTTCAGAAATTACATTAACATATGTTTTAATTATAATCAAACTCTAAGATGGTTTTTTAGAAAACATAAAACAGATATGTTTGAGTTTCAATTACAGTTATATTACTTCCTACCCACGTTACTATGGGTGTTTTACTTAATTTTATTTTCAATTTCATTGTCCTTAAAGTAGTGAATTATACCTTCCTCATAAATTGAAAAGAATGAAGTGATATTCCATGTAATTTTGTAGCTTATACATGGTGTTGAATAGGCCTTTGATAGTATCTGTTATTACAAATATGATTATGGTCCTAATTCCTTTCCTAGAAGTGTTTTAGTAAAGAGGTCACAATAAATTGGGGACAACTTCTAGCTTATTTTCCTGAAAATATTCTTAATTCTTTGTATCAAAGTCAGTCCTTAATAAAGAAGTATTAGTTATACTTTTAACCTACCGTCTTTATATTAAGTAAATATCAGTGGATGGTTTTCCTTATAATGATATAATTATTTTTTCCATGGCTTACCTATATTTGATTTTAGTTTTTCCCTTGTACTGTGGTGTTTTGTTTTGTTTTGGTAGAGGGGATTGAACCTAGGTCTGTCTGCTTTACCACTGTGCTACATCCCCTGCCCTTTAAAAAAATTTTTAAATTTTGTGATGGAGTGTCTTGCTAAGTTGTTTAGGATCTCCCTCAGTTGCTGAGGGTGGCCTCAAACTGTGATTTTCCTGCCTCAACCTCTTAAGTTGCTGGGATTACAAGTGTGTTCTACTGTGCCTAGCTGGTATTGTGCTTTTAATTATACTCTTTCCAAAAAAAGGATCTCCTTTCCCAGTTAAATAATTGGTAATATTATTTAACCTACAATATGACATATTATGTAGCTATAGTATAGTAACATAATGGTACTAGAGATTGACCACTGTAACCACTGAGCCACATCCCCAGCCCTATTTTTGTATTTTATTTAGAGACAGGGTCTCACTGCGTTGCTTAGTCCCTTGCTGTTGCTAAGGCTGGCTTTGAACTCGCAATCCTCCTGCCTCAGCCTCCCGAGCTGCTAGCATTACAGGCATGTACCACTGGGCCCGGCCTTAAAAATATTTTTTTAGTTGTAGACAGACACAATACTTTTATTTATTTGTTTTTATGTGGTGCTGAAGGTCAAAATATAAAAAGATAAAAAAACCCATCATATTGTATATAGTATATCTGAAATGTAGGTATACTATATATACACATTCAAGGCTCTACCAACTGAGCTTGAACCCTAGTCCAGTAATATAATTTCTAATCGAAAGGTTTTTTTTTTCTATGTAGATAATTCCAAGAGCTGAAACACTTCTGGGAACTATGGGACTATTCTCAAGGAATTTTTTCTTTTCTAGAACACATTTGAATGGCTAGACATGCTTGCCTAATTAATTTTTTTCTTTTTCTTTTTTTATTTTTTCTCTCTACTTCTTTTCCCACTCTCCCTCATATACTTATCCACTCAAGTATGTATTAGACGTTGGAGATCCACCTGGAAACTTAAAAAATACACTGTCTGTCCTTGAAGACCATGTAGTTTAATAAGGGTGACACTGAATAGAAGTAGAGAGTACCTGTAAGAGTTTGTGTCATAGAACTTTATTTGGCCTGGCATGTATGTAGGTCAGAGATAGGAATGGGAGTAGAGGCAGCATGAAGTGAGACTTGAGATCAGTGTGGGCCAGGTCATACATAGCTTTCTAAGTATACTAAAGATTTTTTTTTTTTTTTATCTTAAGTGTAGTAGGAAACTAATAAAGGTTTTAAACAGAGAAGTGTCATGATCAGATTGCATTTTACAATCAGTCTGGCTGCAACATAGAAAATTATTTGAGAGGAACTAAGAGTAGATGTGGTAGCTTTGAACTAGGGTAATAACAATAGGAAATTAACAGATTCGAGCAATGTTTAGGATGTAGAGTCTACAGAGGTAGGAGAAATCACTGGATTAAATGGTGGATGGATTGATTAGGGAGAGGTGAAGTGAAGCATGGCATTTGTATGGCAGGGCAAGCAGATAGATGATGGTATCACTTACTATGCTATGAATATATAAAGTTCTATATGATTAGGGCAGAGAGTGAGTTGAATGGAAATCTTGTTATTATCTAAGTTAATTAGAATAACAAGGAAGAATTTAATACTACTGTCTTAGTATAAACAAAATCCTAGGTCTAAATTCAAAACTGAACAATTCATAATTTATAATTATATGTTGCTAGTTCAAGAGGATAAATATGAAGAGGATTTCTAATCTTGTCACGTGCTGTAATAGTTATGTTTGTGAAAACTCCATTAGTTTCTGCATTTGCTCTTTAAATAAAAACATATGTGAGGGAATGATCTCAACGCTTCCCTGTTCATGACTTGGACTGTACAGTGACCAGGGTTTGTAAGTTTGAGCTCGCTTGTCTTTTATCTGATGAGTAAATTTCTATTGTTTAAAATTGTACTATTTTTTGTTCAGTGGTTTTCAGAACTATCTCCTGATCCAGTTCTTTTTTAAATGTGGAAAAATGAAACCTAAATGGAGAGAGCCTGTCTTTATCTTAGGTATAAGAAACAAGCAGAGTGTATTTCTTTGCCAAAGTAGAGAATATTTTTTTGTGCAATGGGTGGACAAAGCATGTCTCTGTCAAAAACATACAGTTTAGGTCACAGATCTTTTCAGTTGTTTATAGTACTCTCCTGGCCCTTGCAGGCAGTTGAGTTTGTGGTTGCTGCCTTATATTTTTGCTTTATTGTGCATATCTCATAAGACATATGTTTCATATTGTAGAATTTGGTTTAGATGAGGTCCTTCAGTTTTATTCAGAGGTATTTATTTGTTGAGTGATGGAAGACTCAGGTTTTGAGATAATATTCTGTAAGGTAAACATATTGTATTGCTTTAAGGATATAGTAAGTAATAAAGTCTGTGAATTCACCATACTGTTTCAAGTCCCTTATGCTAATTTCTGTGAATAGCTTCTAGGAAGCTAGGGAAGGAGCATAAATTATTATTGTGTAAGGAACCAAAAGAAGTTTCTGTAATGCTGGATATTAGTTTAACTGCTATGTTTCAGGGCTGGGTCCAGTGGTTTGAACGTCAACTGAATGGAAATAACTGATACATCTTTAAGAATAAAATAGACCCACAGCACTCTTCTAGGGAGGAGAGCCTAGCAGTCTAAACCAAGGGATGATTTTGAGGTTTGAAAAAGATCACTGGGGGGCTTCAAGAGGATATGCAAAGGTAATAGTAGGATTTCTGGCTATTTCCTGCAAGTAGTAGGGAAATCTTTATTGGAGGCTTAAGGGAATAACCTTAGTAGACATCAGCTATACTAATTAAAAAAAAAAATCACTTCATTTGTCTTCCTGCCTCTAAGCACTGTCTTCATAGCATATTATCCCATGACCTAGGACTGTGTTTCCTCTCTCAACTAGCCAGTCTCTATAGCATGGTATATAAGACCATTTATAATCTTTCTACTGCCGTGTAGTCTAGCCTCTTCTTCCTTTGACTTTATCCTGCCAGTTTATGCCCTAGCCATACTAATATATTTGTAGTTACTTGAATCTATGATGTTCTTTCTTGCCTCTGAGCTTTCCAGTATGCTGTGGTTTCTTCTCAGAATGATCATATTCCTTTGCCTTACCAGGTAAGCCACAATTTATTTTTAAAACCCATCTGAAGTGTTTTTCTGGGAATCTTTTCTTGATGTTGAATTCTCCAAATTAACAATGATGGTAGCAGCAGCAGCAGCAGCAGCAGCAAGTGCTTAAATAGAATGTGCCAAAAAACATTTATAAGTCCTTTACATATTAACTCACATCACTGAATTAAATATGATTATTACTCCCATTTTATAAATAAGAAATAGTAGACATGGTTAAGTAAGTCTCCCAAGAAAGTAGTAAAATGGAATTTAAACAGAGATAATCTGCTTCAAATCTTGGTTTTCATTAAATATGTTGTACTGCTATCACCGCTACTTTTGAGCTCTATACCTTTATTTTTGCATATTTCTAGTATTTGCATTTATCATACTATCCTTTTTTAAAAAAGGTCCAGTGAAAGCAAGACTTGTGGCTAATTCTTGTCCTCCTCCTCCCCACCCCTCATGTCCTCAGATAAAGGTGACAGTGGGGAATAGTGAAGATTTAGATAGAAAGAAGGAAATATATATCCTGCCTAAAAGCACTTTCATTGAAATTAAAAAACAAAATTATTTGTAATTCAAGTATGTTACCCTCTATGGAAGGAGTTTAGTTATTTGCTAACACATAACCTTTGGTATGTAACAGAGTAAAGGCTTGTGCGTTTGCTTGCTTAAACTGAGTTCATTTCCTTGCCTGAGATGATTAACAGAGATGAGAGGACCTTTGACATGTATTAATGGATGACTAGAAAACATTTATATTTTGTTAATGGAGTCTGTTCAAGAGCCATTGAAGGGCAAGGGCAGAAATGCTGTAGGTGGATGGGAACTCAGAAAGGGTAGGACTAAAATTGTCCTTTTTAGTTTGCGTTTTTTTTTTCTTTATTCTTTCTTCAGTGTCCACTAACAGTTAGTTCTATGGCCTTCACATTCTTCAGTATGGGTATATGTGTCCCCAGTAGAGCAGCATGGCCTGAATTCTACTCAAGAATATCCAGGGCTGGGGTTGTGGTTCAGTGATAGAGCGCTTGTGTAGCATGGGTGAGGCACTGGGTTTGATTCTCAGCACCGCATATAAATAAATAAAACAAAGGTCCATTGGCAACTAGAAAAATACTTAAAAAAAAATGAATGACTAGAGGTGAGGTTCAGTGTCTCCTTTGCTCAGTCTCCTTTAATTCTCATGAAGAGATAAAGAAAAGGTAATAGAAGAATCAGTGATTGTCTTAGCGTTTTTTTGTTTTTGTGGTGCTGGGGATTAGAACCCAGGCCTTTTGCATGCAAGGCAAGCCCTCTACCAACTGAGCTATATCCCCAGCCCTGTTTTATTGCCATGACAGTGTGGTACAGACTGTGTGTCTTACAGAACAAAAATTTATTTTCTCACAGTTCCTGAGGCTAGTAAATCCAAAATAAGGAATTGAGTCACTTCCTGTGGGGGTAGGAAAGAGGGGTGTTCTTCTTGTTTGACAGTCACCTTCTCCCTGTGTCATCACATAGTAGAGACCCAGAGAAAGAGAGCAAGGTCTCTGGTGTCATGACCTCATCTGAAGCTAATTATCTCCAAAAGGCCCCATCTGTAGATGCCATCACAATAGAGATAAGGGCTTCAATATATGAATTTGGGGAGGGGCACTGTTCAGTTCATAGCAGTACTGTTAGTCCACAGTAATAATATTTTGGTGACTTTCTTGTATCTTGATATTTTAGTTATTACTAATAATGCTTTGATGACTCTTCCCAGCAGATTTTTTTCCCCTTTAAGTTTTATGTCTAACTGTTAGTTAATAGGTTTTTAAAAATAAAACGTCCAGATGTCATAGTAACAAGTTCCAGACACCACAGCCTCTCCTTACAGATTATGTTACTTTTGCTTTAATAAAGGCTTTTCTCCCCCTTGTCTATTTCACACTTCTTTCTTCCAGGTGTCCTTTCATGGTCTCATTATTGTCACATCAGGTTTAGTATGGGCTTTCTTTTTGCAGGTGGAGACCACGTGGCTTTGCAAGGCCAGAATTAATGAAGATTTTACATAATTCACTGGATGATTCCTTTAAACGTCTTATTTATCCTCTCCTTTGTAGAGAGTTCAGGTTTGTATTTTGTCTTGCTTCGTTTTGTGTGCTATTTATTTTGCATTGTACTGTTAAAGCATATAATAAGTATTTGTTGATTGAGTCACAAAGCCAAAGAACTTAGAATCACAAAGTCTTAAGTTTAAGCCTTGATTGCAATCTGTACATGCCTTATGCATAAGTCTTAAAACTTTGTTGTTAATTGTGATATACTTTTCAAGCTGGACCACTTATGTAGTCCAGCTTGAAAAGTATATTCTGGAATAATAGTCTTGCATTTTGACAACCAAGCCACATAAATGGTTTTATTGATTTGAGATTTGGTTTGGAAGAAACAAACTGAGAAGTTAATGGAGAAGTTACGTGCAGTCATTTTTTAGAGTTAAGAGAGCCAAAGAAAGCATAAGCAGGACATGATGAATTTATTACTGTGAAGAAGGAAAGCTGTTATATATATTTTATTCTCTAAAGCGGAAGTGTTTGGATGAAATGTTATCAGCAATGATGAGCAAATATCAGGACATTATTAAAATAGCCATTTAAAGGGACTAATAGAAGTTCTAAGAGCAATAAAGATGAAAACTACAAAAAAAAAAAAAATGGGGTGCGGATTGTTTTAGATGAGAAGATGGAAAGAAAAGAAATGTAGGGAGGCAAACCCCCTCCACTTCCATTTTCTCCAGCCTTTGTCCTGGTAGTCAGTCTTTAAAAACTAGCCATTCTCTCATATGGTCTTTCCTAAGTGGGATAGATTTATTTCATTCTCACTTTTTTCGAAGTTTCAGCAAGGACTACTTGAAAATTTCGATTTCTAACCATCTCATCAACCTTACTAGAATTTCTAGCAGACTATATACTATTTGTCTATTTTTCTTTTGCTTGACATTACCATTGAGTTCAGGGTATTGAATGAGCAGGTACTCTTAATGACACATAGCTCTCTTGTTCAATTTCTTTTTATCAGTGACATTCAGTTTCTTGTTTTAGCCTTTTTAGTTGAGAAGTCCCCTAACAATAGTGTTTGTTTTGAAATTCTGTTTCAAATTTATGTTGTGCAACATCTCTTGCTTTTGGTGATAGGGCATAAAATTTAAAGATAGGAAATTCTGTCCTTAGTGAAGAAAAAATTATCTTATTTAAAAATGTAATTCCTTTTATATAGTTGTCATTAACTTATTTTTTTTCATTATGCATGTTATGTCCAGTGGCACTTTTGACATTTCTGCATCTATTTGATTTGGGTGACTGTGGAATAATTTTGTTCAGATTGAATATAAACAATTGGTGCAGGAGTGTCTAACATATAATCTAGCAGTGAGAAATCACAAGGACTTTCCTTCTCTTTTTCTAAAATACCTTTGGTTAAAACAGTACATCTTTTTTCAGTTCTTAAGTTAGTTTGCAGACATTGTCTGGAGATGTGTCTTGATAGATATATTTCCATGAATAGCAGTTGAGGAAGGCAGTCCCAGTCAGTTTTACTTTTTTTTTTAAATAAAGAAAAATACTTTATTTTTCTTTTTTTAGTTGTTATTTTTAGTTATACATGAAAGTAGAATGCATTTTGACATATTATACATACATAGAGTATAACTTCCATTATTGTGGTTGTACATGATGTGGAGTTACACTGGTCATGTATTCATATATGAACAAAGGAAAGTTATGTCTAATTCATTCTACAGTCTTTCCCATTCCCGTCCTCCTTCCTTTCCTTCCATTCCCCCCCTTGCCCAATTTGGTGAACCTCCACCTGCCTCCAGTGGGCTCCCTGCCCACCCTTCTTCTTTATGCTGAGTAATATTTCATTGTGTATACATACCACAGTACTTTATTTTTCTAATTAAAAAGAACTTTGGGGCTGGGGTGTGGCTGAAGTGGTAATGCACTCACCTGGCATATGCGGGGCGCTGGGTTCGATTCTCAGCACCACATAAAAATAAAATAAAGATATTGTGTCCACTGAAAACTGAAAAAAAAAAAAAAGAAAAGAACTTTGTCCCAACTATAGGAAAATTGAAAGCATCAGTAAAGCACAAAAGGGGGGAAACATAATTTCGCTAGAGATACCCATTGTTAGCCAGAGTTTTCTCCACCTGTGTGTGAATTAAAAGAGACCATTAAGACTATGTTATTTTGTAGTCATTTTATTCAGTTGACTATATCCTATGCATAAACTGCTTCTGCATTTCTTATTTCCATGACTGTCATGATCATTCATCCATGTGGCATTTTTCGTATCTACTTTATTTATCATTTCTACCTTGTCAGTTATCAGGAAGTGTTTTACCATCTTGTACTGTATCATGCATTGTTCCTTCTCTTTATGTCCATGGTTACTGTCTTAGTTCAATGCATCATCATTTCTTGTCTGGATTACTGTACTAGTGTCATAGATGGTTACTGTCTTCTATCTTTTCCAACATAGATTCCACATTGCCATTTTAAAATCCCCATCTCATTATTTTATGCTTGTCTACTTACAGTCCTCCAGTGTATCTTCTTTGTCTCCAGGATAAAACCCAAGTTGGTCAGAAGAACATACATGACCCTGTGTGATCTGGGTTTTTCTTTCTTCTAGAGCTTTTATATGTTCACCCTGTGGCTTACAAAATTACTCACCTTTTCTATGAGTCATTTCCCTTTCTTTCATCTCCGTTTCCTCTTGATTTACCTGAGCTTACCTAGTTCAGCTGTCCTTCCTAGGCATTCCTGTTATGTTAGCACTTAACCATTGTTTTAAACTTGCCTGTGTATTTTTTCTGTTTTTTTCCACTGCACAGTGAAAATCAGGGCAGAGAATCTTGTCTTTTTGGCTTATACCAATCATGGTACCTTCTGTAAGACTGTTAACAAATGTTCATCCAATGAATAAAGTAAAAGTGTAGATATAGAAATATTTGGAAAGATACTTCTTCTCTTGTTTGGCTGAATTTAGAGAGAATGATAATGAAATGTTTAGAGAAAATGGAGAAATCTTTAGAAAGTGAATTAAACCAGAGACACTAACATTAGTTAGCTGTGTGCCTCTTTTATAACTGTAACATATTCTGCTTCAGCACTGATATGAAATGTGCTTTGATGACTTTTATATGTTCAGTTTTCTTGTGGTCAATAGCATGTATAGTTCACATAGTCTAAGAGAAGTTATACTCTATAAATTCTTAAGAATTTCAGGAGACAGTATGTGGAGAGCTTCTATTAAGTAGGTCAATGGAATAAAATTTGGTTTCCAAATGATTTTAAGCCATAATGGACATTTTTATCATAGATTGTGCCTAAAAGCACACTTTAAAAAAATAACTTCTCTGCATAAAACAGAAATTATTTATATGAGGCATGATTCTGGACTGGCTATTAGTATCTATGGTAATGTCATGACACTGAGAATGACAAAGGGGTAGATGTGGAGAATAGAGTAGAGAAGATGACTGGGATATTTAAAGGTAAATGTATAAAATTAAATGTTATTGGAGCTATCTGTGATTCAATAATTTGTTACTATAATTTTTGTGTCTATATTTTTCAAAATTTGATAAACTTTAATTTGACTCCCACATGACATGCAAGTCTATACATTTTTTTCTCACATATATGCATATCTACACTTTATCTTAGCTAAAAGGCTGAGAAGTGATATATACACCTCTAATCATATTACTTTTGTATATAGCAAAGAGCAGACAGAGAAGGAAGGTAGGTATGATAAACACATAAAGATTGCTTCAAAATTTTTGTGGTATTTTATATTACTGTGACTAACAAAAATAGACCCAATCTAATTTTTGTATGTGATGTTTTTCTTTTTAACTTATTTTGTTATAGGGAATGTTCCTGTGAGGAATAACTATACAAAATAATCCCTGTACTTTTTCCCTTTCCATTTATTTATTTATTCACATACTCATTCATTTATTTATTTTTCATTTCTGAAGAGCCAAACTGACATCAGATGCAGAGAAGGAATCAGTAATGATGTTTGGACGGAATCTTCGTCAGCTTCTTTTAACAAGCCCTGTTCCAGGCCGCACCTTGATGGGAGTGGATCCTGGTTACAAACATGGTTGCAAATTAGCTATAATTTCTCCTACCAGTAAGTTCTCTTTCAGCTTTTTATATAAAAGTTGTTTGGTCTGTTGTTAAGTTTTACTTCATAGATTTCATGAGGATTTGGAAATAATGTGAATTTTTGAGGCTTAGCAAATGGTTTTCTCATAGGGATATGAGAACCAGATAATCAAACTTCATATTTCTCTTTATTTGTTGATCAAAGCCTTCAACATATGACCATCATTTACCTCCTTCCCTATTTCTCAGTAGAGAACTGAGGATTAACAAGGCTCAAACTTGAACCCTATCATCCTTCATCAACTTGTTTGACGTAGTTATATTTGATGCATTTTATTTCTATATGTTTTAAGCACCAAAAGGCACTTTTGATTTGCCAGCTAATATTGTTTTCATATTCACTCATATATTTACCTTTTCTAATACTTTTCATTTTTTTCTGCATTTCTGTGTTTGCAGTTGAGCACATTTTGCATAGGGGGCAGACATGAAAATCTTATGCTATTAGTTTTTATGTGGGTCAGATGATGAGAAATTGTCTCAGTTTTTATTCATCTGAAAAAGTGTCTTTTGCCTTCACTTTGAAAAATTTTTTTTATTAGTTGCTGATGGATCTTTATTTATTTTATTTATTTTTTTGTGGTGTCAAGGATTGAACCCAGTGCCTCACATATGCTAGGCAAGTGCTTTACCACTGAGCCACAACCCCAGCCTTCTTGCCTTCACTTTTGAAAAATATTTTTGATGGGTGTAGAATTCAAGATTGGTTGTTACTTAAAGATGTCATTCTATTTTATTTTTTCTGGCATCATATTTTCTGTTGAGAATTTAGCCAAAAATCTTATTATTGTTCTTTTTGAAAGTAATATGTCTTTCTCCCCTGGTTGCTAAGATTTTCTCTGTGATTTTCAGAAGTTTTCTTATGATATGCGTGTGTGTGTGTGTGTGTGTGTGTGTGTGTGTTTGTGTGTTTGCATGAATTTCCCTTGGAGGTTTTTAAAGCTCTAGCATTTCTAACTGTTCTTAGAACTTTCTAACTTGTGTTTTCTTTTTTTTTATTTTATTCTTTTTTATTGGTTGTTCAAAACATTACAAAGCTCTTGACATATCATATTTCATTCATTAGATTCAAGTGGGTTATGAACTCCCATTTTTACCCCAAATACAGATTGCAGAATCACATCGGTTACACATCCACATTTTTACATAATGCCCTATTAGTAACTGTTGTATTCTGCTACCTTTCCTATCCTCTACTATCCCCCCTCCCCTCCCCTCCCATCTTCTCTCTCTACCCCATCTACTGTAATTCATTTCACTCCTTGTTTTTTTTCCCATTCCCCTCACAACCTCTTATATGTAATTTTGTATAACAATGAGGGTCTCCTTCCATTTCCATGCAATTTCCCTTTTCTCTCCCTTTCCCTCCCACCTCATGTCTCTGTTTAATGTTAATCTTTTCCTCCTGCTCTTCCTCCCTGCTCTGTTCTTAGTTGCTCTCATTATATCAAAGAAGACATTTGGCATTTGTGTTTTAGGGATTGGCTAGCTTCACTTAGCATAAACTCTGCACTAACTTGTGTTTTCTAGGGAAGTACTTTTTGACATTTTGGGATTCTTCTGTTCAGAGGATCATCACATTTTCTATTCTCTCTGCTTCCTCCCACACAGATGCTTATGTGCGTAGGTCTTAGCTGTCAGTGCATTGTACCCATCTGCTCAGTTTTGGGTTTTGTGAAGATGTTTTGTTACGTTTATTATAGATGCACTCATGGGGTTTTTGTTTTTTATTCCTAGTTGTCTTCTTTTTTAAACATGATTTTTTTTTATAACTTTATTTGTTTTATTTTTTTATGTGGTGCTGAGGATGGAACCCAGTGCCTAACACGTGCTAGGCAAGCGCTCTAACACTGATGCACAACAACTCCAGCCCCCTTAGTTGTCTTTTGGTGCTGTTCATTTTTATAATAAATGGGAAGTCTGTTTTATCAGTTTTTTTCTTCAACTACTGATTCATCATGTGGCTTTTATCTTTTTCTGTATTAACTATGATGAAGTTTATTATTCAGATTTTTTTCAAAAAATGTCAAATTACACTTTCCTTAGTTAAATTCAACTTGGTCATGATTCTTTCTTTTGGATATGTTGGTAAATCAAGTTTTCAGTCTTGTATTGCTTATAGGATAATTCTTTTGAAAATTTTTAACATGTAGATATAGGGACTTATCCTCAATCCTCATTGGTAAGATTTTTCTAAGAATTATCCATTTCATCATTTAATCAAAATACTACATACTATTATTTACATACATACTATTATTTAAATCTGTTTCTTTTTAATCTGCTCCATTTCTAATTACAGCTTTTTTTCATTTCTATACTCTATATTCTCTTTTCATTTCTATATATATAGCTATAGATAGATAATATGTCTCATATATTCTGTATTTTCATTTTTATATTCTATAGTCTGTTTTCATTTCTATTATAATTTATGAAGTCATTTTAAAATATAATTTATTTGTCCTGCAAAAAACCAAAAAACAACCAAAAAAGAATTTTACACCGACTGCCTTAGGAAAATCAGCTCTTCACTTTATTATTTGCCAGTTCCAAGTGCCTATTTGAAAATATTTTATAATTTGTAATATATTTATAGTTATATTTATAATTTAAATATAATAAAATTATTTCTAATATAATAATTTATATTTATTTATAATTAAAAGAAGATTCTTTGATTTTTCTTGATTGTTAATTGCTAAAAGTATTTTTTTTTTTTTTTTTTTTGGTACTGGGTTTTGTACTCAGGAGCACTCGATCATTGAGCCACATCCCCAGCCCTATTTTGTATTTTTATTAGAGACAGGGTCTAGCTGAGTTGCTTAGCACCTCGCCATTGCTGAGACTGGCTTTGAACTTTCGATCCTCCTGCCTCACCTTTACCAGCTAGGGATTACAGGAGTTACACCTGTTACAGGATTACACGCCTGGCTGTTAAAAGTATTTTTTAAAAAATAATTTTGTTGCTCCTTTGTGTTGTTTTTTTTCTATTTCATTAATTTCTGTTTTTAACTTTATTATTTCCTATCTTCTGCTTTCTTTGAAATTATTCTGTTGTTTTCTTAACCTCCTTGTTAGGAAAACATTGTTTACTTAGGTCACTTATTTGTATTAGGTAATTACACTCAAATCTGCATGAAGTTTTAATTAAAAAAATATTTTTTATTAGAAATAAAATATTTTCTGTGTATTATAGTGTAGAAAAGTACAATTCTTAAATATATAACACAAAGATTTTTATTAGGAAACAAATTCATATGTCTACAACTAAAAAGAAGAAAAAGAATAGTATTACAACAGTGTTTACTATGTAGTGAGTATTCAGTAAATGTTAGTTTTTACTAATTTGTTAACATTAACTGTTTTGTATAACAAAATAAGTGTAGGGATTGTTACAATCCATGTTACTTTGAAAGAAACAGTTTTTCAGAGGTCTTGGGGACAAGTGAAAAATGAATGATTTAGATTGCATTTGAAAAGACAAGCCTTTTCTCTTACAACTGGCTTAATCACAACACTGGTGTTATATTTTGTAATTTTTTACGACAAAATGGCTTTTTATTTATTTTTTTTTTCCATTTTCTTTTAAGGTCAGATACTTCATACTGATGTGGTTTACTTGCATTGTGGACAAGGCTTCAGAGAGGCTGAGAAAATAAAGAGGCTTTTGCTGAATTTCAAGTATGAAAATAAGTAATCTTTTCAGTACTTCACTGGCCCAGCAAGAGATTCCTTTGAAACCTAAAATAGGGAGGGATCAAGGGAGGTGCCTTGGTGAGAGAGAAGGAGGCTTGTAAAACAATGCTGGGGCAAACTTCTGGAGAACTGCATATGGGGACTCCTGACAAGTGCTGCTTCCTCTCTCTTTCACAAATAAGAGGTGGCGATGTTGCCAAAAGTGAGCATTTATTTCTTATCTTTGAAATTATGACAACATAATTCAGCCATATTGTCTTTATTACGGCTTAGAATGCCCCAGCTTTAACCTACTGCCATTTAATTTTGATTCCTGTTGATGGGAAGAAAGCTGACTGATTCTTCTTGACATTGTATGACAATAAACTGTTTTTTCACTGCCATCTATACCAAATGCAAGGGCAATATCTTTTAAACTGCATGTCTATTTTTCTTTGAAACAATGGAGAGGTTGCTTGGATATATGAGAGAATAAGAGCAGTGTAGAATAGTATTTGTGCATTCTGTACATTTTCTCTGGTTGATTTCAGAGCATGCCTTGAACTCATCCAGTTTCTCATTCTGTTTCTGCCTTGAAGCTGCAGCACAGTGGTGATTGGAAATGGAACCGCCTGCCGGGAAACCGAAGCTTACTTTGCTGACCTGATAATGAAAAATTACTTTGCACCACTGGATGTTGTTTACTGGTAAGGATGTTAGGAATATTTGTTTTCTTGGAGAGCCATGGGAGCTTCTAAAGTTCCTTTTGTGATGAATTCTCCTTTCTCTTTTTTAAGATACATGTCTTATTTGTCCTCCTTTCCCAACCCACCTCTTGTTGTTCATGAGAGTTTTGTAGAATTATGTGAAGTGTCTGTCCCTTGGAGAAATTTAGGACAGGAATGACTAGAGCAGGATGGGTCCTGAATCCTCTCACAGAAGCAGCATATTAGGGCTCACCTAATGTGATTTTCCAGGTGTGCATGGTATGTGTGTTTGTGTTGGGGGTTAGCAGTTACAGATTGTACGTAACTTTGCCTGCCTTCTCCCAAATATTTTAATGAATCATTGCCCTTCGGAACTGAGAGCCAAGGTAAGGATATGAGTTAAAAAGAATTTTTGATGTTCCTTTCTCATTTGTCTTCCTGGTTACAAGATTTCTTTACATATAGGCATACATATAACTTATGGATGGTTGTGGATCAGTTTGACTCAGTTTCTTTTAGGACTTTCTGGTAGTCCTGTTTTCATTTTCTGTCGTTTTCCCTTTGGACCTCAAATAGCCAAGATTACCCATTTCAAACTGTAGTGGAATGAATAGGTTTATTTCTAAGAAAGAGGGTAGAAATAGTGGTGGGTATTTAGGGGAAAAGTACTCAAGAGCCATTTCCCACTGCTTAATGAGAAATCTAATAACTATGATTGTCAGATAATAAATAGGGGATTTGTAGGATGAATAATGCAAAATAAATAATTAAACCTACAAAAGGAAGAACTCTAGGATTCATTTAGTAGGCTAGAAAATATGGGACAGATATTTAGTGTAATATTCCAAGTGCTTAGAGTGTATGTAATCAAATTAAGTCAGGAAAACAAAGTCAGGGTACCCAAAGAGAACTAGGGGAACATTAGGGACAAACTGTAGGTTCCATAGAGCATGGTTCAGGAAAGGTATAGATTGAAAAGTTCACCTTAGCTTTTTTCCTTCTCTCTCTTGTGTTACTCAAGTTGGCCTGGGTAATATTGTGGGTCTTCCTATTCTGAAACTGAAAAAATGTACTTAGTACTTAGTCCCTTTGAGAACCTAAAATAAGCACCCGATATAGCTGATTCTGTTAGTTTTTTTTTTTTCCCCACAGCCAACTTTGATTTCTTTTTCACTTGTTACGTTCATTTGATGTAAATATCTTGGGTACATTTGTAGTGATTATAAATACAACTCTCAAATCATAAAAAACTTTAAATAATAAAAACGTTCTGAATTGCATGTGAATATTTTGAGGAAGGGTACTGGGGATTAAATCTAGGCCCCTGCATATGTAAGGCAAGTGCTCTACCACTGAGCTATATCCCTAGCCCTCATCTGATATTTAGATAGTGTATAGTACTAGAAAGGGTGAGCCATGGAAAGACAAATCTGGATTCCCTTTTTGTTTTCATCATTTACTAGTTATGCAAGGTTAGAATAGTTTTTCAGTTTAGCTTCACATTTCCCTTCATCTTTAAAATGGGAAAACGAGCTGGGCATGTGTCATATGTCAATAATCCCAGTGACTTGGGAGGCTGAGGCAGGAGTATCATAAGTTTAGGTCAGCCTGGACAATTTAGTGAGCCTATCTCAAAATAAAAAGTAAAAAAGGCAGGGAGTGTAGCTCAGTGGAGTGCTTGCCTAGTCTGCATGAGACCTTGGTTTAATCCCCAGTAGTACAAAAAACAAAAAGCAAACAAACAAATGAGAATTTACAGTGACTGCTTTAGGAAAATCAGCTATTCAACTTCATTTTATTATTTCCCAGTCCCAAGTGCCTATTTGAAGATACCATGTTTTCTCATCTAACACTTTGAGGTTATATTGAAATTGAAATCTCCATGCTTTCTCAGGTAGTCATTTTTTGGTACCTTCTAAACAAATAAGCTGATGTACATTCTTATATTCCTTTCACTCATCCTGAAAAACCTTTCCCAGTGATATATACTAACACATTTCCTCTGACCTCTTCCTTCTAACACTTTCACCTTGACTTGCTGCAGTAGGTTAGCACATACTATAATCCCAAGTTAACATTTCTATCATGACCCATGTATCCACCTTTTCTATCATCTGTTTCTCTCCCTACTCTTAAAATACCTTACATATTATGGGGGAAGTCATGCAAAGCTTCAAATCAAGTTGCAGAACGTAATATAGGCTTAGTTAATCAGACAGGTTTAAAAGTTGGAAGTATTCTTGAAAAATTGTACTATTTTTTGTATCATTTAAAGTGTATTGATGGAATGATTTGCCATTTTCAGTCTCCTGCCAGATTGCAGGCACTCAATTTACTAATATCCTAATATTTGTTTCTATTAATGTTAAATTACTATACTTAATTATGTTTTAATCTTTTATTCCCATTTTTTCTTTTATAAAGAATAGGGATTTTTTTTGGGTGTGTGTAAGTAACAATAGTGAAATTTATTGAAATGTAGAAATGGCTTAGCTGCTTAGAGACATTTGTGTTCATAGGTATTGTGTCCATTGTCTCCTTCACTGAAGCCTTCTCAGATCAAAGGACCATATTTATCTCTATCTCCTTTACATTAAGAATATTACTTAAGTGTCTATCTTGGCAAATATTAATTTTATAAGTATTTATTCATATTATCCATTTAACTTTTTAGTTAGATGTGTCTTCTTAAGACTATTGACTGGAATTATTATAAGTTGAGTATAATTTACCTGAAATGCTTGGGATAAGAAGTGTTTGTAATTGTTTTGGATTTTAGAGTATTTGTATGTACATAATGGGATATCCTGGGGATGGGACCCAAGTTTAAACACAAAAATTTATTTATGTTGCATATACACCTTATATATATGGCTTGAAGATAATTTCATACACTATTTATGGTGTACCCATGTTTTGACTGTTCTGTCACATAAGGTCAGGTGTGGAATTTTCCACTCTGGTCTAATGTCCGTACTCAGAAAGTTTCAGATTTCGGCACATTTCAGATTTTAGGTTTTTGAATTAGGGGTGCTCAACTTTTATATGCACAAAGTATAGAAATTTCTGTTCTGCATAATGCTCTAGTAATTCTGACTTTATGCTCTATTTTTTCATTGATAAGAAAATTTGCAATTGACAATTATAGACTTATAGTTTCCCCCAAATAAATGATGATTTGGAAATAAGATAATTATATGGTTAGAGTTGTTATTTAATGAACTATGAAAGAACTGAAAATAATATTTAATCTCTGTATCTTGTATTTCAAACTTTGATTAAAAGATTAGGCCAAATGTTGCTTAGAATCACAGCATGTTGTGTATTTTGGACTATCACAGATATACATGAGGCCACTTAAAACTTGGGATCAGAAAATGGAAGAGAACATTTTGTGTTGTTTTTGACTTTAAGTTTAATGTTTCTACTCTGAAAGCTGCAACATATAGATGGATTTGAGTAGGCAAATATAGGAAGCAAGAAAATATAAATTATTTTTGCTTTCTAATGATCTTTCTCATTAGAACAGTGAAAAAATTTGAAAATAGATTGAACTGAGAAGGTGTGGTATGTAACAAAAGAATGAGAGAAAAAAAAGAAGGAATGGTATTATATAGAGGGCTGGGAATGTGTTTTCAGAGGTTACTATATACATGGGGCCTAGTGAGTGAAGGCCATGGCCTTAATCAGATCATATTAGGCAAAAAGGCCTGATGCTGGACACTTGTGAAGCACACATTGAAGCCTATTCTGGTGCAATACCAACCTCTAATAAAAGAAATTGGTATTGCTTTAATTTAAGGAATATAGCTTTGTTGCTTGAGATAAATTGATATACCCACCAGAGTTTCTAGCTGAATTACAGGGAATTTGATTGAGCCTTAAAGGATAACTCACTTGTTATCTTGATAGCAAAGCCAGTGAAAATTTTTTGCCTTAAAATTTTAAAAGTCAACTTTTTTTCTTTAAAGGTATTACAAATATGTTATGTACATTAATTAGAAAATACAGATATATGGTAAAATTTCCTATTTCCTAAATTGCTTGGACTATATTTCTGGATATATATGTGTGTGTGTGTGTGTGTGTGAAGAAAATCTTTTATATATTTATATATTTATATATTTATATATATTTATTGTTTTCCCATGCCAACAAACACACTCTGCTTCATCTTTTAAAGTTTACTAGATAACATTCTTGTGTAGTTGAGTCTTATTTAGTCATGCCTTATTCAAAAGCTTGCTTTTTCTAGTCATTACCATTATAAGCTAAGCTAAAGTAAATGTTCTTATGCTAGATATTTGCATGTGCCATATTTTCTTTAAAATACATTCTGGGAATTAGAGTATGAGTTTAAAGGAACACCTTATCTCTTCTCCTACCTGAAAAATGCTGAAATACCAAACCTAGAATACTTAGGTTGTTTCTATACTACATTTCTCCTTTCAATATGTTAACCACTTCAGGATTCTGTTATTTAGAAACTTATATTGCTTTTATATATATAAAGGTCTACACAGAAAGGGAAGAAAATAAAGCATTTTTTGGGGGGAACGGGGATACCAGGGATTGAACTCAGGGGCACTTGACCACTGAACCAAATCCCCAGCCCTATTTTGTATTTTATTTAGAGACAGGATCTCACTGAGTTGCTTAGCACTTCACTTTTGCTGAGGCTGGTTTTGAACTTTTGATCCTCCTGTCTTAGCCTCTTGAGCTGCTGAGATTATGGGCGAGAAACATTTTTTTAATTGTCAAATACATCAAAATATACCAAAGACTATATAAGTTCTATACAATTTAAAAAGAACAAAGTAAACATTCTTATTTCCAGCTTTGAAACCCTTTATTAGCTTCTTCTTTGGATTGTCTTTTGCTGCCTATCCTCTTTCTACACCCCATGTACTTGCTTGTTTTTGTCAACTTCCTTGCTATGTCCAAAAGACCTGCTAAGAACAAGGTAGAGGAGGAGGAAAAGTTTATTTGATTCACAATTT